AAAAAAATTGGAAAAGTGGGGGAACATTGATGCGAACGAGGGCTGGATCCTTAGAAACGCGTACAATCGGGCCCGACGAGCTCAACTCAAGAACGTTACAGATGCTGGTGCAACAATCACGTTCATGCAGCAGGTCTTCACGTTTCAAGCCGCGCCGCGGAGCCCTCCATGCCGCGCCGGATCTCCTCCTCCACGCCGCGGCCATCATCACGGACGGACAGAGAGTTTGGGACAGCAGGCCGCCACGCCGCACAGCATCTCGTGAGGAGTGTAACGGACGGACAGAGACCACAGGGATAAAAGCACGCCAAACCGCGACGTCTATCACGCCGCGGCAGCCGGTCCCCTCCACGCCGTGACACCTCGCCGCGCCGCGACACCATTGAACAAGACGGCGGTTTCCACGCAGTTAAAGCAGTATTTTTCATTTTTTTTTCTAAATCCGTAGGTTATGAGTGGTAGTTTTTTTAAGGGCTTTAAGAACTCAGACATGTATTTTTTTTTTCTTGTCAAGCAATTTCATAATCAAAAAACGCTTGTTTGAGCACCAAATCTCGTGTCGACCGACGGCCATTCCAGTGCGGGTTTACACTTTTTCGTATTTTTCTTTAATTTTGATAAACGATCGTAACATTGGTGCTTTCATCGAGAGAACAATAATCGTGTATCATGTCCAATCGAGAGAGAATTGATCGTTTGGAGGAAAGCGTACGCTCGATCAATGAGGACATACAATCGACGAATCAAGTTGTTGCTAGAATCGAGAGGATGTTGCTCCAAAACGCAGCAAGGAAAGCACGGAGGAACAACTCCGATTCTTCGTCGGATGGGGAATCAGACGCAAGTAGTGAAGCCGAATTCCATAATAGATTCGCGGGCGAAGATGATAACCATTCAAGGGGATCGAATCAACGGGAACGGCGTAAGAACGAAAAACCTAAGGTTAGTTTACCAACTTTCAATGGTACGGATCCCGATTCGTGGTTAAATCGAGCAAGTCAATATTTTGAAATTAATGAGGTCCCAAGAAACGAATGAGTAAAATTTGCTGGTTATTATCTCGACGGAGAGGCGAATGTGTGGTGGCGTTGGGTATCAAGAGTTTAAAAGAAGAAAAATCGTACTATTCGTTGGAGACAATTTGAAAAGGAATTGATGACGAGGTTTGGTGAGTCGGATTTCCACGACTTTGATGAAACCCTTTCACACATCAAGCAGGTCGGCAGTTTACGTGACTACCAAAAAGAATTTGAACGAATAGCAAGTCATGTTCATGATTGGCCGGAGAGTGCGTTAATTGGTGCATTCGTAGGTGGATTGAGAGCTGAGCTCGCGGCTGAGGTCCGATTGGAGAGGGCGAAGACTCTACGGGCAGCCACTAAAGCGGCTCGGATACGTGACGATCATTTGATGGCCATGAAGAGGGTAAGTCGTCCTAATACGTTTTCGGTTTGCACGTCGGGGGTCGAAGATGGGACGGTAGCTGAAAATCCAAAACCTACACCAATGGGGGTTCGACGACTTTCATGGGATGAGATGCAACGAAAGAGGGAAAAGGGTTTGTGCTTCAACTGTGATGAAAAATTCCTACCTGGGCATAGATGCAAAGTGAAACATTCCTTTTTGATTGAATTCGAGGATATTGAGGAAGATGAGGATGAGGTAGACGAGCCCAAATACGACACCGATACACACGGGGATGATCCTGAGATCTCAATTCATGCGATGGCGGGAACTCAAAGACCTAAGACGATGAGATTGCCGGCGTGGGTTTGAGATCAAAGAGTGGTAGTGCTAGTGGATAACGGTTCTTCTCATAATTTCATCAACTCTACCTTGTCCAATAAATTGAATTTACCGGTGACTAAGGTGGATCCTTTTGATGTGAGGGTGGCTAATGGGGATCGATTGAGGTGTTCGGAATTTTTTAAAGATGTGCCTATCAAGATACAGTGTGTGACTCTAAAAGCCGATTTCTACGCATTGACACTAGTAGGGTCGGATGTTGTATTGGGGGTGCAATGGCTGGAAGGGTTAGGACCGATAACGACGGATTACAAGGTGGGCACGATGGAATTTCGTTGGGGTGACGGAATAGTTAAGTTGTCGGCTGGCACTAATGAAGGAGCAAAGAAGGCGAGCTTGAAGAACTTGGAGAAATTGTGGAAAGGGGGTAGCCAACTCTTTGCTATCAAAGTGGAAAATAAAGGGGAGGAGCTCGAGAACGGACCGCCAATTAATCAGGAGATACAGGACTTGCTAGATCAATTCGGTGAAGTGATGACCGAACCCAAGGTTCTTCCTCCAAGACAAACTTTCGATCACCACATACCATTGAATGATGAGAATCAGGCGGTGCATGTTAATCCTTACCACTATGCTCATTTTCAGAAAACGGAAATTGAGAGACAAGTACGGGAAATGCTAGAAACCGGATTGATCAGACACAGTACGAGTCCATTCTCTTCTCCCGTATTGCTAGCTAAGAAGAAGGACGGAACTTGGCGTTTTTGTACGGATTATCGGGCTTTGAATGCGGCAACCATAAAGGACCGATTTCCCATCCCCAGTATTGATGATATGTTGGATAAGCTTGGAGGATCAAAATTTTTTTCGAAGTTGGATTTAAGGGCGGGATACCATCAGATAAAAGTAGCGGAGGACAATATTCCGAAGACGGCATTTCGTACTCATCAAGGCCACTACGAGTATCTGGTACTGCCTTTCGGGTTATGTAATGCTCTTTCGACCTTTCAATTTTCTATGAACTCTATCTTTCGAGAGTTCTTACGTAAATTTGTGTTGGTGTTTTTTGATGATATCTTGATATATTCAAAAAACTGGAATGATCATATTGAGCATTTGAGATTGGTATCGAGTATATTGGTGGAAAATGCTTTTCATATTAAGCTGTCTAAGTGCTCATTTGGCCAAGGGTCGGTAGAATATTTGGGGCATATAATCTCTTCTGAAGGTGTGAAGGTGGATCCTCGAAAAATTGAGGCTATGCAAGAATGGCCGAAGCCAAAGAGTTTGACAGAATTAAGAGGGGTCTTGGGACTAACCGGCTATTACCGAAAATTTGTCAAAGATTATGGCTCGATTGCTAAGCCTTTGACAGACATGACCAAAAAGGGGGGATTCAAATGGACGGGAGCAAGTGAGAGGCGTTTGACCAACTCAAATTGGCTATGACGACTACTCCCATTTTAGCCATGCCCAGGTTTGACATCATGTTTGAGGTACACACCAATGCTAGTGACAAAGGAATTGGAACCGTACTTTCACAAGAGCCGACCAATCGCCTATTTTAGTAAGGCTTTAGGGAGCATGCGTATCGGGTGGTCAGTATACGTGAAAGAGATGCTCGCCGTCATTGAAGCAGTAAGGGTTTGGAGGCCATATTTATTGGGCCGCCGTTTCAAGATCGTGACGGACCAACAACCTCTAAAACACTTACTAGAGCAACGCATAGTGACCCCGGAACAACAAACATTTGTATCAAAGTTGATGGGTTTCGATTTCGAGATTTGCTATCGACCGGGACGACAAAACTCGGTGGCGGATGCATTGTCACGTCGCACTAACGTGGCCGAACTCCAGGCTATCTCCGGACCGACATGGGCCATATGGGATCAATTACGAGAGGCACATGCACTAGATGCCTTTTGTAATGAGACTCGTCAACTTATGGAGGCACAAGATGAGACGGTACAACAATATGGTATGTACGATGGGCTGTTGATGTTCAAAGGAAAGGTTTACGTACCAGAGGTAGAACAGTTAAGAACCTTGATCATGCGATACTTTCATGATTCAAAGATCGGAGGCCATTCCGGGGTGTACCGTACATGGGTACGATTGTCTAATACTTTTTATTGGCCGGGGCAGAAAAACGATGTACGTGATTTTGTAGTGAGGTGTGATATTTGTCAAAGAGTGAAATCGGGTTCACGAAAATCGAGTGGCTTGTTGCAACCTCTACCGGTACCCGATTGTATATGGGAGGATATCTCTATAGATTTTATCGAGGGATTACCGAGATCCAACGGGTTCAACGGAGTTATGGTGGTGGTAGATCGACTAACCAAGTATGCACATTTCATTCCCTTAACTCATCCTTATACAGCAAAATCCATAGCAAGGTTATTTGTTGAATTCGTGGTCAAGTTACATGGGATACCCCGGTCTATAGTAACTGATCGAGACCGAATTTTTATGAGTAACTTCTGGAGAGAATTTTTCAAGATGCAAGGGACTAATTAGCTATGAGTTCAGCGTACCATCCTCAGACAGACGGGCAAACCGGGGTAACTAATCGTACACTTGAACAATACCTTCAATGTTTTGTTCACCAATTTCCCATGAAATGGGAGGGATTCTTGCATTGGGCCGAATTCTGGTATAATACCACTTTTCACGCATCTACCAAGTTTACCCCATTTGAATTGGTATACGGACGAGCAGCTCCAATGCTTGTCAGTTATCCGGTGGGGAAGTCCCAAATGCAGAAGTTGACCGGAAGTTAATGGAATGGGACTTGTTGATCAGAGAGCTCAAATAGAATTTATCCGGGTCAATTAATAAAATGAAGGAGTACTATGACAAAGGACGTCGGGAGGAGATATTTGGGCCAGGGGATTGGGTTTATCTCAAGTTAAGGCCGCACCGTCAACAAACTATTTCTCAGAAGGCGTTATACAAGTTAGGGAATCGATTTTATGGGCCTTATCAAATCATGGAAAGGATAGGTGAAGTGGCATACAGACTAGAGTTACCCGAGGGGTCTCAAATTCACCCCGTCATCCATGTATCACAACTGAAAAGAAGCTTAGGTGATGCCCGTGAAGCTCATACTCGGTTACCGGCGGTAAATGGAGATGGACAAATTATTGTACAGCCATTCGGAGCATTGGAATATCGAAGGATAAAGCGAGCGGGGCGTTTTCGTTGGGAAATCCTAATCGAATGGAATAAATTGCCAGAAGAGGAGGCGACTTGGGAGAATATGCAAGATATTCGCAATCAATTTCCAAATTTCATCGGACAAGAATTTACTCGAAGGGGATGGGAATGATACGAACGAGGGTCGGATCCTTAAAAACGCGTACAATCGGGCCCGACGAGCTCAACTCAAGAAGGTTACAGATGCTGGTGCAACAATCACGTTCATGCAGCAGGTCTTCACGCTTCAAGCCACGCCGCGGAGCCCTCCATGCCGCGCCGGATCTCCTCCTCCACGCCGCGGCCATCATCACGGACGGACAGAGAGTCTGGTACAGCAGGCCGCCACGCCGCGGAGCTTCCAGTTCACCACGCCGCGCAGCATCTCGTGAGGAATGTAACGGATGGACAGAGACCATAGGGATAAAAGCACGCCACACCGCGACGTTCATCACGCCGCGGTAGCCGGTCCCCTCCATGCCGTGACACCTCGCCGCGCCGCGACACCATTGAACAAGACGGTGGTTTCCACGCAGTTAAAGCAGTATTTTTCAGTTTTCTTTTCTAAATCTGTAGGTTATGAGTGATAGTTTTTTTAAGGGCTTTAAGAACTCAGATTTGTATTTTTTTTCTTGTCAAGCAATTTCATAATCAAAAAACGCTCGTTTGAGCACCAAATCTCGTGTCGACCGACGGCCATTCCAGTGCGAGTTTACACTTTTTCGTATTTTTCTTTAATTTTGATACACGATCGTAACGAGCATCCACAACGTGCTTGTTTGATGTGGGCCCATGACCCTTCACACCCCTTTTGTGTTGTGTGTTGCACGCACAACCAAAAAATCCCCCACACAGATAGAATCAAACTCACCAGATTGTAGTTTAGTATTCAAAATCATTGCATGGAATTAACTCTTACAAACAACTCTTGTGACAGTTCATTTTTCATTTAAGCTTTTTCCTCATAAAGCATATTGCCAAGGGAATTGATTTCATCCACTATAATAAGAAAAGCAAAGCAAACTATTTAGGTTGGGAATGTCTATAAAAATATTTAAAGGGAAAAATAAATTATTGCCATTTCATCTTTCAATTTTTGTTGCCCTAAATGCAATAGCTGTGAAAATTTCTTAAACTTTTTTTTTTCTCCAATCAAATAGTTCTACACAACACTCACATTGGATCATTTTTAAACAAATTCCACATTAGATCAACTTTAATCATCATACTTTCTCTTACAGAATTCCTTCATTTTTAGTCCTAAAATAAATAAAAAGGAACCAGTGCAACTCAACCTTGTTCACAAAAAAGATGAAAACTAGCAACAATCAAATAGTTTTCTGAGTCCATTATTACACACTTTTTTCAACTTGAAGTTCAACTTAATCCTCTGTGGTAATTGGATATATGGTCTATGCTTAACCTTATTACTTATTCTTTTCTCTCCCTCAAACACGCAAAACGAATATCGTAAACCCTTTTCTGGTGTTGAACTACAAAATAAGATTCTAAAATAACATTATTTATTGACAGCAGGCTTTCTCATGAGCTCTTTAACTGTGTTCTGGTAAGAAACATGAACCTTCTTAAGGCAAGCATTGTGACCCATGTCGACTTTGTGATTTTCTCCTTTATCATTAAAAGCAGTGCAGAACTTAAGACGGTCTTCAGGATTTGGGCCTGTAAACCTTTGAAGAATCCCAGCAGACCTTCTTTTTCCCAGATTGCGCGGAGTGCGCCAAACACGGTCTTACGGGACTCAAGCTGTGCATGTTTATCTTTACCCTCATTCGACTCTGCTGACTGGATCATCACTTTACATCTATTCAAAACCGAGAGCTTGTAATAAACAGAAATCTCATATTTAGAATGAAAAAAACAAAAGAAATCTGAAAGCAAGATGCGGTTTGTTTCATATTTCTGATTCTGATTCATTTCAACTTTTCAAAACAAATAAGCACTTTATAACTTTGTTAATCGAATTCTCTTTTGATTTATTCACTACCAACGCCTTTTTTTAGAACATCACCAACTTTTGATTCTTGAATCAACTGATTTTAGGGAGTGAACATTAAAATATTTGCTTTTGAAGGCCCTGATTGAATTGGCCTTGAAAAGGAAGTATTTGAGTGGCCCTGATTAAAGTAATGAAGAAATCTAAGCAACTAAACATGTGCTTATCATTTTTATCAAAACAATCTTAATTGAAATGCAATTCTATTTTTTTTTTTTTACCTTATAGCTGGGTACGTTAAACATGTAGCAATGCATTTCGAGACAGCACCCAACACAAAAGCAGAAAATGCAGAAAGAGCTTCTGGAGATATTGCCATCACATCATTTTTCCCTTTTCTCATCTTCGCCGTTAGCAGTCTCTGCTTTAACTGATCAAACGCGGTGTACTGCATAAAAATGTTATAACAAATCAGATATTTTTCATATTCATCATAACTTAAGGTTGATTTTACTAATGTAAGAAAAAAGTAACACAAAAAACGTAAAAAAAAAAAAATAAAATAAAAATAAAAATAAAAATAAA